ATTTATCTTATCTAACGGTTTCGGTAATTTAATTTTGATTTCTAACCTCAAAGTTTTTTCTAAAGTATACAAAATTTTTACATTGGCTTTCCAAAAAAAAATATTTTGCACATAATTTATAAAATTTTTTACTAAGTAAATATACGTAAAAATAAAATTAAATTGTAATTTTTTGATGATTTATAAAATTAAATAACTAATTTTTAAGTATTTCATATTTTTCATAACGATTAACAATGGCGGGAAAAGTTCTTATTGTCAATTAAGAAATTAAAAAAAAAAAAACTTTTTATAAATGAATTAGTCATAATTTTTAATTAAAAAATACATTATTTTATTATTTATTATGAAAGAAATTTCATTCTGTATTATTTATAACTTTATTATTACTAAATAATTATTTAACGAATCGTTTCCGGCCGCCATTAAAACTGTTTTGTAAACAAAATCTTTACAAAAAACTGTAAAAAATGCCGGACATTGAAAATCCTCCCGAAGTAAACGATGAAAACGTTATTAAAAGAAGAGAACTTCTTTACAGGCTTATTATAAGGTAATTTTATATTTCTTATTTTGATTTAATTTAATTTTTTTTTATTTTTCTCAAGGAAAAATAAACTGTTGAAAGTATTTTCATTGTCATAACCAATGTTCATAAAAAAGAAATTTTATTTAACATGGAATTTCTGTTTAAAATACAAATTTTTAAAATGTTTTGCTTAAAGAAAAGAAAAAAAATGATTGTATGTAACTTCGAATGAAAACAAAATTGAAATATTTATAATTAAAACATGGAATAATTTTCAGCCAATTATTTTATGACGGTCATCAAAATATAGCCGTTAATTTAACATCTGCCATTCAACCTGATCCTCCATGTCCTCCATCGGATAGATTGTTTAATTTGGTTTCTGAGGGTTTAAAATATGAGAAGGAAATGCAACCGAAAAAGGACTCAAGAACTGGATTATTTCAGGATACATTATTAGGACCAGGATTAGATTTAGAATTTGATACAGACATTCAGACAAATGCTCCTGAACCTGCTTTATATGTCACTGCTTATGTTACCAGTCATAAAGCTCCATGTAGAGCTTGCGCTTTTAGTAATGATGGGCAATTAATTGCCACTGGTAGTGCAGATACATCTATAAAGGTATGTAAATATTTCATTCTGATTCATAATTATAATGCTTAATTAAAATAAATTAATTTGTTTTTCAGATTTTAGATGTTGATAGAATGGTGGCCAAAGCTTATGATGAAAGAGCTACAGCAACACAACAAAAAGAAAATTATGAAACTCATCCAGTCATTAGAACATTATATGATCATTTAGATGAAGTTACTTGTTTAGAGTTTCATCCGAAAGAAGCCATTTTAGTATCTGGTTCGAGGGATAATACAGTCAAACTTTTCGACTACAGCAAATCATCAGTCAAAAAAGCGTATAAAGTTCTTCAGGTTAAATTTAATTTATTTATTGTATGTTTTTATACAAATAGTCAATGTAATAATTAATATTGAGTTAAAATAAAATAATAGGATGCAGAACAAGTCAAATGTATGAGTCTTCATCCGACAGGAGATTATTTAGTAGTCGGAACAAATCATTTTGTAGTCAGAGTTTATGATCTCACAACGGCTCAATGTTATGTTTGTAATTTTCCAAGTCATCAACATACCAAAGCAGTTACCAGTATCAGGTACTAAAAAATACCATTAAAATTAATTATTTCCTTTTTTATTTTAAAAATATTTAGAAAAATTTTTTTTGTTTTAGGTACAGCAATGATGGTAGACAATATGTTACAGCCAGCAGAGATGGTAGCATAAAACTATGGGATGGTGTATCAAATCGATGTATTAATACATTTCAAAAAGCTCATGATGGTTCCGATGTGTGTTCTGTAGAATTTTCAAGAAACAGCAAGGTATGTTTATAAAATTTTTTATTATTATTAAATCTCTAATAATATGTTATAAATGAAATCAATTTTAATAACAAATTATCCATAAGTGTAAGTAATTTCGATATAAAAAATTCATGAATAAAAACTAATTTTAAATTATTTCTTTGTTTGTAGTACATTCTTTCATCTGGTAAAGATTCTTTGGTCAAACTTTGGGAATTGACAACCAGTAGATGTTTGATAGCATACACAGGAGCAGGAACCACAGGAAAGCAAGAACATAGAGCTCAAGCTGTTTTTAATCACACAGAAGATTATGTTATGTTTCCAGATGAAGCGACAACATCTTTATGCGCTTGGAATGCTCGTAATGCATCAAGACGACAACTCTTATCATTAGGTTAGTACCATAACTTTTATTTTTCATATTATTTACTTCACTCAACATTAGTCGAAAATATATTTTTTTTAAATTTTATTTAAACGCAATCAGGACATAATGGACCGGTTAGAATGATTATGCATTCTCCGACTGGTCCTGCATTTGTGTCTTGTTCTGATGATCACCGAGCAAGATTTTGGCAGAGAAGGACCAAATAGCAATCAGAGGAAGATGAATTATAAAAAAAATTTTTTTATAATTCATCTTAATTCGTGTGAAAACAAAACATAACAAACAGTGTTTATAAAGAAAAACTTTCGGTTTGTTTTTATCATATGGTAATTATAGTGCTAAAAGAAATAGTGAAGGGGGGGAAGGGAAGGGAAAGGTTAGAAAGGTACGAATTCCTAAAAATATATAATAATAATAATAATATAATTTAAAAATATTTTATTTCATAATGATGATGATGATGATGATGATTACGAGTATTTATAAGTAAAATTACAAATTTATTAATAATAAGCTCACAAAATGAAATAAAATAAATAATAATAAAAAGCCAAAAAAGCAAAGGCATATTGTCAACCGTTATTCAAGGTAAACACGACATTTATAATGATAATAATAATGATAATGATAATATTTAATCATAAAAATTAATTGATTTTTCGCGTTGACATTTTTTTTTTTTTTTCTTTCCGACATACACAAAAACATTTATCGATTAATTATTATTATTATTATTTTCTTCTCTTGAACTTTAATTAATAATTTAGAACCTTATTGTTGGATGCGTCATCATTAATCATTAACAATTTTTTTCCAATCCGTTTATAATTTTAAACTAAGTACAAATATTACATGTAATTATTATCATTAACAAATTAATTTTTTTTCTTTTTTCCAATCATTATTATTATTAAAAACATTTTTTTTTCTTTTTTTATTATTAACAGAAATAAAGTATATATATAACTTTTTTCCTTATTAAATATATATATATATATATAATAACGATTTTTTAATGTATATTTATATAATAATAATAATAATAATAAAATTTTTATAATCGTATAATAATTTGAAATTTTTTATTTTTGACACAACGATGAGGATAAAATAATAATAATAATAATAATACAAATATTAAATTTAATTTTTTTTCATCAAACATTATTATTTAATTTTACGATGGACCAGGTAATTAATTATTCAAATGTTTACAAACCAGTTTTTAATTTATGTAAGTCGTTCTGCGCATCACATTAATGTATATATTATTATCATCATATTTTTAACATGTATATATAAGCCACTTCTTACATAAAAAAAAGTTGTTTAAATAATAATAATTGAAAAAAAAATGAAAGTTTCAATAATAAATTTTTCTTTTTTAAAATAAAACTTTCATTTATGTGTGTTTCATTGTAAATATTTTTCTGTCCACAAATGATTAAAAATTGAAAATACTTTAATAATAGTTTACATGTAGCTGCAACATGAATTTGTTTTTCTCGCAGTTTTATAAAATCCTTTCGCTTGTAAACTTAATTCTTCTGATTTGCTTACTAAATTATCAAGATTTTCACCTCTTCTTAAAACTGCTTCACATGTATTGTGCTAAAAAAAAATAAAAATAAACACTGTTTGTATATATAATGAAGGAATAAATTTTGATTTTCGAAATGAACAAATTTCAAATCGTAATCAAAAGCCTAATAATATGTCGATTAATAATACATAATGTTTTGTTTTTTAATTTTTTTTTATATCATTAGATAAGAATCATCTAATTTGTATTTATTATGTCAATTTTTATTTTATATTTAGTTTTTATAATTTTATGTTTTTATAAGAGATGATTATTTCGAAGAGAAAAAGAAAGAATTGTTACATAATTAAATTTTTTTTTTCCCGAAGGGAATTCAAATTTTTGACATTAAGTTGAAATAATTTCTTTTTATGTTTAGCTTATTGTATTAATTAATGAGTTTTGCTAAAATTAATTTATTTTTATTTTAAAATGTCGCTCACCAAAATAATTTTAGTTTCATCTAATTCTTCCTGTATTTTTGTCATGGCATCAACTTCTTTTGGAACTTGATATTTTGATAAATAAACAGGAAGTTGATTAAACGATATTGAATCTTCATTGGCAGTTTTCCATAAATTTTGTGGTACATTGCTAGCAAAATCTGATAAAACTTTTGTTAAAAGAGTATGTGCTACTCTTGTAGGGTATTCATGATCTAAAGAAATTAGTTATTCAAATTATAGAAAGTGAAAAACTTTTTTTTTCAAAATCAATTGATAAATAATTTTAATTAATAATATTTTGTTATGAAATTACCAGATATAACTATTCCTGCTAAACCATCGACATTTACATAAACGTGACACATATATTCTCCTTCTTTAATACTTTGCCTTGTCGCCAATTGAGTTCTTTCGACAAGTGTTTTACCGACAAATGTCATAAATTCTTGCACACATCCTCTTTGAAAAAAATTAAAAGAGCTTAAATCATGTGCTGTTTTTAACCATTTCACTGACATATCGTTTTTATATAATACACTTAATGAATATAATTTAACCATTATGAAAAGATGTTAGACTATTTTCTAAGACAAAAACAAAAACAAATCTTTCTAATAAAAATTAAAAAATTAAATATTGTAATTAAAATGAATGATTTTTCTATTATTTAAAATTTACCTTATGGTAAAAAAAATTTTTTTTAAAAATAAATTTTTAACAATTAACAATCAAAGACTAATTAAAATTTCACTGAGTGTAATAATATTATTATTATTTAAGTATATGACTATTCCTTTTAATAAAAATTATTTTTTAAGAAACGAGACCCTCATCATTTTTCTAGTGGTTGTTTACAAAGATCGTGGCACTACCCGAAAAAAAAAAAAAACATAAGATATTAAATTTGAATATAAAATGAATAAAATATTTATATAAAAATATGAGTAAAATTATTAATAATTTAATTTTTAACACATTCTTTTAAAAACGCTAACGGTAGAACGTCAAATATTACTTGTAACTTTAATTCTTATCTGTCAAAGGAAAAAACATCATTTCGACGTATGACGTATATTGATTTCCAAGAGTACGTTCACGAATCGTTAATAACTTAAATTATGTTTGTAAGCCGTTTCGTATTGTTAATGTTTACTACTATGACTGTTTATTTTTTTGTTTTTAGAATTTTGAATTAAATAGAACAAAAATGACTACTGCTTTATACCTTGAACACTATTTAGATAGTTAGTACTATTTTTTAAACGATTTAATTAAAAAATAATGAATACTAATTTTAATATTTGTTATTTTACGGTTTTTATTGAGGAAACTTTCTATTTAAAAATTTTCACTTAATAATTTTTTAAATTTAATTTTATTCGCAGAAAGAATTTCATTCATTATTTGAACTAATTTAATTTATTTTTAAATTTAGGTTTGGAACATTTACCTGTTGAGCTCCAGAGAAATTTTACACTAATGAGGGATCTAGATACAAGAGCTCAAAATTTAATGAGGACAATTGATTCTCTTGCCGATCAGTACCTGAGAAATGTCAATACCATGTCATTAGAAAAAAGAAAAGAACAAATGGAATGTATTCAAAGTCAATTTAATAAAGCAAAAGAATATGGAGATGACAAAGTACAATTAGCCATACAAACATATGAATTAGTTGACAAACACATTCGAAGACTGGATTCCGATTTAGCCAGATTCGAAGCTGAAATTCAGGATAAAGCATTATCGAAAACTCATACAGATGATTTATCTTCTCAAAAAAGTATGAAAACAAAATATCATGTATTTTACAAAATTATTTTTCATATATATAAATCAATATTGTAATTTATATTATTTTTTAAAGAAGGTAGGAAAAAGACTAAAGATGGTAAAGAATCTGGGAAAAAAAGAGGGAAAGGAGCATCTAGTGAAGAAGAAGCCAAAACGAGAAAGAAACAAAAGAAAAGTGGTGCTGGTAGCAGTAGTAGTAAAGGAAGTACAAATGTTGCTCCATTAGTCGATGCTAGAATCGCTTCAGTTTTACCAGGAATTCCTCACCCAGCAGATGTATTAGACATGCCAGTAGATCCCAACGAGCCTACTTATTGTTTATGTCACCAGGTTTCCTACGGAGAAATGATCGGTTGCGACAATGTAGATGTAAGTATTAAATTTTGTTTATAAAATATTAAAATTTATTAATTGTTTAATAATAAAACCAAAAAATATTTTTTTTAGTGCCCTATTGAATGGTTTCATTTTGCTTGTGTTGGTTTAATAACGAAACCTAAAGGAAAATGGTTTTGTCCAAAATGTACAGCCGATAGGAAGAAAA